CTTGTTGGCACCAGATTACTGAACAGTATTCCACTGTATTTTGTAGTCAGATCATTCATGCTGATACTGATTTCTCTCCACACTGATATTTTCTCTGTTTGTGCTCATCTCAGGACAGACCTTCCTGATTTCCTATATGGTAACTCTCTTTTTCCCTTGATATATTAAGCATGGAAATAATTTGGTATCAAAGAAAAATAACAATGCAATTTTCTCCTAAGTATTAGACTCCAAAATGCAGCTTCACTCTCAGAAACATTTCCCAGAGGCAGCAGCTGAAGGCCACTAGCTCCTGTGGGAATCACTGTGTGTAACTCTAGACTTACCTCACTGGCAAGAGCTGGAGCCAGAAAAACTCCGAGAAGAGAAGCAACAACAACCTGAAATGAACATTGGAAATTCACAACATTTTAACACGGTGACTGCTTATCTTTCGTGGATTTATTTGCTGTCTTGAAATCATTGCGGTGACTGCTTATCTTGCATGGATTTATTTGCTGTCTTGAAATCATTTTGGCTTCATGTTTACTCTGTGTACAGGCTCAGCACTCTCTGCACTGGGGTCTGGCTGAAGAGGATTTAAACATGCACAGAAACTGCCCTTAACTCCAGCACTACACCTTGCCCAGGTAAGAAGGTCATTTAAACACTGTGAGTTTTAAAGCATGCCCACGTCCTGTTCAGTAAACTCCTTGGAAAAAGGTGCTCCAAAATATTGTCTTTGAAAGAATGAGCTTTTTACCTCGAGCCTGTGGTTTCAGACATGGAGCACATGTAGGAAATGTCCATGCGCTCCTGTTGTAGAGAGTGGAACAGAGTGCACAGCCCAACTCTGTGCCCAGAGTACAGCAGAAACAGGAGCTGAGCACTCACAGTGATCTCAGCCTGAGTACGTGGCTAACAGACTTAGGCACAAACATTTCTCTTCAGAAAATGTAGCAATAAACATTTGTTACCCCTTTATAAAATCAGAGAGTTTCAGCAACTCACATGTTTGTTGTTGCTCAGATTTTGGAAAGATTTAATATCGCTATGATGATAAATTATTTTGTGTTAACAGTTGCAAATAATTAGCCCCTAGGAGACAGTGCCTCGAATATTGAGTAGGCACACGGAGTCACATCCCTGCCAGAAGTGAAATTTCACCCATGCAGTCCCCACCCCTTTGGCATTTCCACTTTCTGGTCCCTGCATAAATCAGTAGAGTTCACTCACTGCCAAGAAAGACTCAAAATCCTGTAAAAACTGTCCAGCCTGAAGAGTTTTATGAGAAAGTGATATGTATACTTACAGCGACCTTCATTTTGGTGGCAGGCCAGGCAAGCTCTGCTGGTAATTGATGTGTACTCTTACTTTTTATACATAATATCCCAAAGTTAAATCAGAGAATGGGTTTACCTTACTGGCACGTGCCCTGTGTTCACAGGATCGTGACGAGTTTCCTGGGGAAGTGCTGTGATAAGAGGAGGCTTTGATTCCAGCCTGATTGAACCCACTGCACTCAGGGAAGTGAAAACTTCTCCTGGTAAGTTCAATGTATGGAAGAGGATATTTTAAGTGGGGAAAAAAGTAATAAACCAGAATCAGAGAACAGATTCCCAGTAAAATTTGAAGTGATGCTTTGTGCCCACATGGCAAAGGACTCAGCCTGAAGTTGTACCTGTGAACAAAACCATCCTTCAAATCAAGGAAGGTGATAATCTTGCTAGGTAATTTTCCAATACAAGTTAGTCTCTGTCTCCATAATAAAGCTCAGCTCAAGGCATTGTGTTTCCCTGGTAAATTCTTGTACCACTGTGCAGCAAACTCCCAAGACCAAGAGCCATTCCAGTTTTCATCCTTTCCTCAAATTAGTGTTTCATTCTCTGCACACAGTTACTTTTCCATGTGTTTTTCTACACCTTTCTGTCTAGCAAGAGCTGAACTGCTGAAACCATTTCTGGTTTCATCCTTGAAGCTTGAGCTTGATTTTTGATTTTAAACTATGGAATGTGTTTAATTCTGCTTGACCTGTCCTTGCCTTGAGTGATCCTCTAGGCTGTGTCACCCCAGCTTTATCTAGAGCACGGCATGCCCACCCCAGTGCAAATGGGAGAGTGGAGAGTTATGTTGGTTTCTTGAGGTGTTGCTTTGCTCTTCACTTTTCTCCTACTACCTTAACTGCTCACTCCCTGATAAAGTAAATATTTAGGAAAAGTACCTAGGGAAAAAAAACCCCATGAGTCACCAGCCTCTAGGCTGTGTCACCCCAGCTTTATCTAGAGCACGGCATGCCCACCCCAGTGCAAATGGGAGAGTGGAGAGTTATGTTGGTTTCTTGAGGTGTTGCTTTGCTCTTCACTTTTCTCCTACTACCTTAACTGCTCACTCCCTGATAAAGTAAATATTTAGGAAAAGTACCTAGGGAAAAAAAACCCCATGAGTCACCAGGAGAGTTTACTGTGATCGTATAATTTCACCTTAACTTGACTGAATCCTTCTCTGCTCCATGTTAAAATTCTTGTTTCATACTCAGCCTTGAACTGAAATGGTGCAATTACTCTTTTCAGCTGATGCTCAAAGGTCTTTGGTTTACAAGGTTTTAGTGGTAGACAGTGCCAAATAATGGGTCAAATTCTTCTGGCAGTTATATAGATTAAGAGTAATTCTGTATTTTAATGATCAGGGTAAATGAGAATGTGTTTGAAAATATTCGTCTCTGAAAATAATGAGAACTGAAGTTTCCTGTGACAACAAACATTGCTGTGCTGTAACAATATATTAGTTGTTCTGTGAGTTTCTCAATGCCATTATCTAGTCTTCCCTGACACAACCACCTGCCTGCAAGTTTAACAGCTGAGAGAAGAGTGATCTTATCTGGGGAAAGGTTGGAGAGTCTGAACTCAGGTCAGAAAGCACAAGGACTACACTGGGAATGTGGCATCATTGTGACATGTCACGTTCACCGAAGGGTTCTGAGTCATGGCTTTGCAAGCTAAACCTCACTGTGCCTGAGGACACGTGGAAGGGAACTTGGAGGGGTCACAGCTCTTCTTGTGCAGCTCCTTCCTTCAGCTGCTTCGTGCAGAAGGTGCTTTGAGCACTCTGGTGCTTGGCTCTGAGCACACACCTGCTGCTTTCAGGTGTGTTCCTGGGATAAACTGTGGGGAAAGAGACTCCAAAAAGGAATGATTTCTATTGGACATATACCTAGGCTTTGCCTGAGACAGCCAGCTTGGACTGTGTTGTCTCTTGCAATTATCTTCATTAGCCCAATGCTTTTGAGGAATTTGTCTTTAATTTTTCCTTGTCAAGAGAGTTCAGTCAGTGCCAGCTGAGGGTCAAGAGATTGTGGCTGTTGCTGTAGTTCTCCTTCAGTACATACCTGTCCATTCCCCACATCCCTCTGCCCTTACCTGTGCTCAGGAAAGCAAAGCTCATGCTTCTGGGTGGTTTTTTTTTCCAAAAGAAATGAGTATTTCAAGGCAAAATGACTAAAAGAAAGTGAAAACCTTTCCCTTTAATGCACTTAGAACTCACTAAAGCTTTTTGTCTTCACTTGTGGTGCTCGAACCCTGTTATGCTCCTGCTCAGAAAGGTTCATGTGACTGCCAAAAGCTATTCTGAGTGTTTCTGGTCCTCCTGTAAACTTAGGCACAAAGAATGGTTTGAGGGAAGGGACAGGACCAGTGTTCAGGTGTGCAACTTCAATCTAATTAGCCTAGCTCTGCTTATCACACCCTGCTATCTGTTTATGTGTTTTCTGCTACATTGCTTAGCAGCACAGCTTTGTTACACTGGAGATAACCTTTTCTTCTGGCATGAAGCAAATGTGTGCAATTTCCTTTCCTTGTTTTCCATTGAGGCCTGTTTGCTGAGAGAGATTTCTGTACAATCTCCTTCACCTGTTTTCGATAACACAGATTACAGAAATGTGTTTGCTGTTAGTTTGAGTTCTTGTTTTATTAGGAGGGAACCAGGCTCCATTGTGACCTTCTTGTAGAAAGCAGAGTGTGATTCATCAAGGTCCCAGCACTGGCTGCTGTGGAGTCACAGGGGAGGAGCCCAGGAGAGGTCACACTCATGGGAGAACACTTCCATGGCAAGATTGTGTGGTCATTGGCATTTTCATAAAACACAGAGAATAGTGCAGTTGTAAAGAGGAAATCCTCATCCTGCTCTTTTTGGTTTGTCACCTTGCACCAACCAAACAGCCTCTGAATCCTCACATCAGTCCTCTGGAGGCTGAGGACAGCAGAAGTTACCCAGGTTGTCTTGTGAGGCACAGCAGCTATTCCAAGTTCTGTCCCTCACCTCAGTGCCTGTGTTCTGTACAGCAAGGCAAGTGATGGAAAATGAGCAGCACTTCCTGTTGAGTGTCCACGCGTTTCGAGTCGCAATCATGGAACCCCAGAATGTTGGGGTTGGAGGGAACTTGGAGATCATCCAGTTCCAAGCCCCTGCCATAGCAGGGATACCACTCGCTGGCTCAGGTTGCTCATCCAGCATCTCAGGTGAAAGAAAAGGCTGAAGAGTTGGTCTGTTGGCTGATGCGTGGAGGCCACCATGACACAGGTGTTGCTTTCTAGGACTTGTCTGCAGCCTCTCAGGCTCCTAGGGGTTGTGTTTCCAAAGACAAAATGCAGTTTGTAGGAATGAATAACAAGGTTATTCCCAATGTCATTAAATTCTGAATAATATCCTGTTCAATATTTAAAAAAAGAGACCCAACGAGACTGGGAACTCCTCTAAAGTTTGAACCAGTAAATAATAGCCACTTGTAGAGTGATTGATTTGCAGAGACTTACTGAGTGCTTTAAATATATCAGAGTCAGGTTATCTGTGCCAACCCAAAATTCAGATAGGAGGCTTACGACATGGAGATATGGACTCGCTCGAGTCATGAAGGAAAGTTCTGTCAAGTGTTTCCCACACCTCCAGCAAGATATAAAAGTTGAAGGTCTCTGGGATTTTCTTACGTTCTTAGGTTCTGCAGCCTCTTGTCCTCACCTGAAAGAAAAATGGACAAATTGGTGAGTATCTCTGCTGGGGCTGAACTTTTAATACTGTTTCTCATTTTGAAAACCAAAAGGCTAGAGAAGAAGATGCTCAAGTAAGCGGCACAGTACAGGGACTAATATGAGCTGTGTCTTGTTTCTTTGGGTGGTTCAGTTGGAAAATTGCATTTCTTGGGTCAATGCAGCCAGTGGAAGCATCACTTGAGCAAAGAAGGCAGAACTGGTTGCAGTTCAGAAGGTGGAACTGGTTATGGGTTAATGATTGCAGTTGTAGAGGCAAAGCAAGAAGCAACATGGCATCAAGGAGGGACTTCTGAAAATGCAAAAAGTGGAATGGTTAAGTTGTTCTACTTTTTCAGTGAAGGCAAAAGAGCCCAACAGTAACTTTTCCGATGAAGAATTGTAGTTGGTTTCAATTAGTGCATGTGTTAAGTGGGTATTTTTTCAAACTGGGGCTGCAACTCTTCCCTTAGTTCGTGGACTGGGGTGTTCTATGGCACTGCTGAGTGAGAATGTGATTCCTTTTACAGGCTGCAGTCCTTGTTTGGCTGGGGATCCTGTGCACTCAGACTTCTGCACTGCAAGTGAGTAGACTGCTGAGCCTTCTCCTGCCTGTGCTCGTGTGAAATGCTTTGGGTCCCTGGGCAGGGGGCGAAGAGAATAGGCAGAAAAACACAGAAGAATCTAACAAGTTGCTTATTGCCAAGTGCAGAGAAAAAGAACTTTTGCCAGAGGTGACAATCAGGCCAAAGAGGTGACTCTGAGCAGGTGCTTAGTAACAAGGAATCTGGAGGACATAGGCCCCCTTAGCTCAGGCTAAAACTGGGAGACTGGTGCAGCCTCTCACCAGTCCCTGCTGCCACACACACAATGACTGGGGTGCCCCGTGCTGCTTTTCTTTAGCCTGCAGGAGGTTCTGTTGCATGACTGAGTTCCACCTCAAGAGCCTCCTGAGACTGCTTGAGGTTTCTTAAGGGATTTATTGTCCATATAAAGCAGAAAGTGTTGGGTTTTCTTCACCTGTTCAAGACATAAGCCAGGTGATGAGCAATGGTTTTGTGCTCTTCTCCAAAGACCTTTCTCCTGAGGAACCCTGGCAGTAACTATGTCACTGGGACTATGACCATCCACAGCGAGGAGCACATCGTCGACGTCCACGTCCGCTCCGGGGTGTACTCCTCTGATACCATTTTTGACTACTCACATGTAAGTAAATCAAAGAATCTGCCTCAGCTTAATCTCTGCAAATTTACCTTAGTGTATTTTCCCCACGTGCTGTCCTGAAACCTGTCTCTTTGAAGACTCCTCTCACCTTTCCTCCTCTTGGGCCATCCCCTTGTTTCACCCACATGATGGGTCAGTTGAAAAGACTTGCAATGAAACCTGTGGTGGCAGTTCATGAAAGTGAGAAGAATTCCACTGAGCTTGATGAGGTCAGAGTTGGGGCTGGGCTGACAGCACTCGTGTGCAGTCAGAAATGACACTTCCAGTCAGCCACTGGAACAGGCTGCTCCATTCCCAGTGGTGCCAGTGGAAATGCAGAGCCATTCCACACCAGCAGCCTCTTAACCACTTGGTGTTCCTTCCAGACTAGAGAGTAGAGAGTACTTCCAGACTAGAGAGTGGAGAGCATCGAGTAATATGAATGGTAGCTATTTTTAATTAGGCAATTAACTCCAACTCTTTTCCTCCCAGGGGTATATTGCAACTAGGTTGTTTTCCCGAAACGCCTGTTTTATCATGAAAATCAAAAAGGAATACATCCCAGAGCTGCAGGAGATTGGACGTTTGGCCTTCGAAACACAGGTGACTTTGCAGTGAAACCCACCCTGGACACAAGCAAGGCTGGATGAGAGTGGCTGGTGTGGTTGGTGTGGTGTTAGGAATGTCTTTTGCTGTCTTAGCAATGATGCAGCTGATCTGCCAAGACAAAACTTCTAGGGAATATCATGTAGAACATTCTTTTAAGGTAATGAGCAATCATGCCTCCCCTGAGGCTTCACAGTGGGTTGTCAAGTTGACTAGAACTGTAAGATTCCCTGTCCTTGGAGCTGATGTAATGTGACTGTTTTAAGGAGATCACAATACAAGTTGAGTTAGGCTTTCCTTTTACTCATTGTCCTGATGAGATTTTGAGCTTGACATAGCTTGACAAAATACTTTTTGCAGAACAGAATTTAGATATCAATTTACTCTGACCAGACTTTGACTTCCCTGCTCAGGCTGAGGTCTCAAGAAGGTGACTAGAAGCATTGCCTGGAGGTGAACTGCAGTTCTGGCCAGTTTTGTGCCAGCCCAACTGTAGCTCATTTACAGCAAAACTCAGAGCCAAGTAACAGAACTTTTTATAGCAGTAATGTGGCTCAGGCTTGATGTGTTGGCAGAATCAGCATCTAGTGAATTTTGTTCCTGAATAGATTGAAAATATCTATCTTCCTTTAAAAACATGAAGCTTCTTTAGCTAAAGTTTTGTGTGAGACAAAGGAAGGTGATTTTAGATCTGGGAATTTTTCTCAAAGGGTGTCCAAGCAAAGTGAAACCAGAGCCACGTTACCAATGGTGTCTAACCTTTCCTTCTAGACCATGAGGAATGTATACTCTCCAAATAACGTGTGGGCCCAGTTTCGCTCTGGCAGTTCTGTGATTGGGAAGATCAAGGACTGGCTGCTCTATGGCAAACACATCGAGCAGCTCTGCACGGGTCTGCCCCTCTACCAGCTCGTCGCCACCGAACGTGAGTTACAACCCAGAGCACCTCCTGTCCTTTCAGCCTAAGTCCACCTTGGAGCTCCACAGACATTTCCTGCTGTTGAGTTACAGCAAAAATGTTTTGCACAGTTTTGAGACCAACAGGAGCCTTGAACAGGACCAAAACTGGGGGTTGATATTTATGCATTTGGGGTTTTCCTACAGGGATCTCGTCACTGATGATATCTTTATTTCTGTGTTTCTTTCAGCACAAGCTGGTGGCTGTGCCAGTGCAGGAATTCCAAGCATTTTGGGCCTCAAAATCTGTCAAGAACTCATTGCAACTGGATCTTGACATTTCTGCTGCAAGGAAAGGGCTTATTTCTCTGCATGCTGTTGTAGTAACCATGTTCTCCAGCTGAAACAGAACTCAGGTACAAGGCTCAACTTGCCTATCCAAAGCTTTGATGTATGACCAACCTATGATATGCAAATAAAGATAATGCCTTAATAAAGAAAGAAAATGCTTTGTCCTTTTTAGTCATCCAAAACCAGAACAGAGTTGAAGTGAGCCTTGCTAGCTTTGCTGCAGGAGAGACATGTTTCCCTTTGGTGCTTGGACTGCAGCACAGTCCAGTGTTGGTCTGTGCTTCATGCCAAGGAAGAAACAGAAAGAGAACAGATTTTTCCAAGGGAGCACTTCCCTTTGGGATCAGCATCCAGCCTGTCCAGGTGCTGTTCACCTTACATATGATTGCTGGAGGGAGGGAGGGAGCAAACAGCCAAATGGAGACAAAGGGAGGGAACAGATCTACCTCAGCAACATTAGCAAAGCAGCTCAAACTCTGCAGGACCACTGGCAAGTTCTAGCAGTTTGGATAGGTGCAATGGGCACTTTTCAAACCTGGCTAGAGGAGAGTGTCCCAGCCCTAAAATGTTTGTAGCTTAGAACAAAGCTCTCCACACACTGCCAGGGTACAGAGAGCTGTGGCCACGTGCTGAGTGCCCCACACACACCAAGAGTTGACAAGATGAGGCAGCACTGATGCCTGTTGGTGTGGCAGATCCCAGGGAATGGTTGAACTCACCCATCCCTTCCATCAGTGCCTGCAAGGAGTGTAATTTTGGGGTTGAAGACTGAGTGTTTACTGTCTATTGGAGCCTTAAATTGGTTGCCAGAGGACAAGACATTCCCTGGAGGGAACTGACCTCAGGTCTGCCATTTGTTGTTTTCAATTCAGCCTCCTTGTTGAGCCATCTGCTGCTTATGAAAAGAGTATTTTATCATATGGGGAAGGTGTCCTTCTAGCTGAATTGTATTCACAACAGATTGAGGGTTCTTGGTGATGCAAAGAATCTTCCCAGAGAGTCAAACTTTGGTAATTAAATCCAGGAATATTTGATCTGTGTTCTATGACCACCAAAACAACCCTCTGTGCCTCATTCTCTGCTGTGTCATTTTGAGCTAGGGAGGTAGTGTCCCTGCCCTTCATGGCCTCAAAAATGGAAGATGATTGTTTCTAGCTTTAATTTTACTTCATAGGCTCATAGCATCAGTCAGGCCCGTGAGGAATATATTTGCATTTCATTGCTGTGTTGGTTGGTTGGTAAATAATGCTTCAGGCTATCCATCCACCCTCACAGCACCTCCCACACTCAACTCACAGGAAACCTCTGGGTGCAGCCCCTGGAGGAAAATCCACTGTGGTCTTACTGCACCTTTTGGGGTACAGCTCACAACAAAGAAGGCAGCAAGGGAACAACCCCAGAGCATACAACCCATATGGCCACATTCTGCTTCCCCCAGTTTTTCAAAGACAATCTGTTTCCACATGAGCACATGGATGGACAAGCTACAGCTCTGACTTTTACAGACCTTGAGCCTCAGCCTGTTGGTATCAGCCTCAAGGATCATGCTAGAAAACACTGCAGAGCAAAAGAAATTTATTCCCTATTTCAAACAACTAATTACAGTGCAAACAGGAATGTGCACAGAGCTCTGAACAAAGAACAGAGAAGGAGCTAAAGAAATCTGAGATTTTGTTTATTGGTACTGTATTTGCCCTTGCCATTTCCTGCCATTTCCTTCTTTGCTGACTAGGCCACAGTTTACAATATGTTTTATGTACCTGTCCTAGAGGATGATTAAGCTATTTTCTTATCTTGCAGGTGATTGATATTACTGCTGGACTCCAGGGGAAAACCAAGGAGGTACAAAGCAGCAACAACAGGTAAAGTGTCCCCAAAGATCAGGTCCATTTGTTGCCTTAAATAACTGTGGTCTGAAAATGTTGTCAGTGTTTAAATGCACAGTCTGAAGGAAATCATAGAATCATTAAAGTGAGGAAAGGACTTTAAGGTATTCAAATCAAACAATCAGCCCAGCACCACTAACCCATGTCCTCAAGTGCCACATCCACATGGTTTTGGACATTTCCAGGGATGGTGACTCCACCACTGCCCTGGGCAGCTGTCCCAGTGCTTGACAACCCTTTCCATGAGGAAATTTTTCCTAATATCCAATCTAAACCTCCTCTGGCACAACCTCCAGATCTTTCCCCACCTCCATTCCCTTCTCTGGGCACTCTCCAGCACCTCAATGTCTTTCTTGGAGTGAGAGGCCCAAAACTGAATATCTACCTTTAATTTTATCTATCACTTAGCTTAGATATGCTCTATAGAATATGAAGCATCTTCTGTCCTAAAGCTCATTAGGTTTGTGGGTCATCTGTTGGTCAGGATCTTTTTGCATGGTGTCCCCACCTCCATTCCCTTCTCTGGGCACTCTCCAGCACCTCAATGTCTTTCTTGGAGTGAGAGGCCCAAAACTGAATATCTACCTTTAATTTTATCTATCACTTAGCTTAGATATGCTCTATAGAATATGAAGCATCTTCTGTCCTAAAGCTCATTAGGTTTGTGGGTCATCTGTTGGTCAGGATCTTTTTGCATGGTGATCCATGAGATTTTCCCACTGGAATGGATGGAAAATTCCCACTGATTTCCAGGAGAGGCACCCATGGAGGATTGCAGCCCAGAAACAATGGGAGAGTTATATTCCCAGGGAACAAAGCAGAGTGCTTGTCCTGATAAGTGCCCAAGGTTAATGTGCAGGTGGATAAGGGGGAGATTGTCAGCATTAAACATAAGGTTAACACCTTGAAAACAGCACAACCACCTGGTAATCTGCAAGAGGAGAGGGACAGGGTGATCCTACCAGCCCTGGAACCCAGAGCTGCTGCAGAGGTGAAGAATTGAGTCAGTGCACGAACTCAGGTCTTAAAAGCTTCCTGGGGAGGAACTGTGGGTCAGGATGTGACTCTTACTGCCTTGAAAGTTACCTGATCTTTCCAAGAGCTTCTCTCCACCAAAACACTAGGCATGTTTTGGTGCTTTATCCAACTTCTCAACCAGACTTGTTCTGCAAAAAGCAGGGAATGGATTTCATGGGGAAGAGAACTCGGTGGGAATGTGTCTGGGTGTGCCTGGGTGAGTCTCTGTGTGCAGCTTTTATAAATGAAAACCCTGTTTACCCCCCCCCCGGGGGGTCAGGAGAACTGATTGTTTGCTCCCAGCATGTTTTTGGGAGCCTGGAAGGTGTTTGAAGGCATGTCTGGAATGCAAGCAATGGTATCACTGGATGCACACTGACAGGCAGCTGAAACACCTCTTAGCACACACTCTGGTCACATCTCCACCTCTGCCACAGTTAACCTTTCCTGATCCCTGGGCAGGAAGCCTCTGTGGTCTCTCACTGCCAGGGACACCACATTTTCTAGTCACTTGTGCTGCACATTCATCCAAGATGCTTTAACCACTGAACTTATTCCTCTGAGACCTCCCCAAATTTCCCAGGGCACGAGGCTATTTACTGAGGTCAAGGTATGATAACTTCACTCGTTGTGATCATTTCAAAGCCAGAGATCAAAGTGGAAACTCTTACCCTAGTGAGCAATCCCTTTAAAAGGGAAGACACTGCTTAAAACAGGAGGAATGGCAGATTTCATGTGTCTTGTCTGACACGTGATAACAAGTTTTCCAGTTTGTATCGAGTCATGAAAAGGAACAGCTATGAACAGCTACTGCTTATAGGAAGAATTTCCACTAGCAGAGAAAAAATTAAGGCAAACTGTAGAACCAAGATTGCTATTTGAGACAACATCTGTGTGGTCTGGGCTGGCAAGGCAAAGATGTGACTGTGTCCTCATCTGCTGAGCCTCAACACCCTGTTTGTACTAACAGGGCATAGTCATGGGGGGGGAAAATCATCCCTAAATTTTAGAAGCCAAAAACTTGCCTTTGGGTTGTGTGTGTAGAACCAGCCAGGAGCAAACTGCTGTGGTTGAGCACTGAGCAACATGGTGAGGTCCACATGCCAGAGGAAAAAGAGGTGATGATGCTCCTCAGTTCAGTTTGGAGCACCTTAAGTACTCAGGTTATGAACCATGAGGAGGTGAGATATGTTCTTCATGATTCCTTATTGAAACAAGTGCATGTCTTAGCCCATGAGCCACATATTTCCAGGGGATATAACCCAGTCCTGGTGCACACATTTCTCTCCACTCGAGCTAAGCACCGAGTGAGATTTGCATTCACCACTAGATGGCAAATTGTCACAGCAGCATCAGCAGTTGTGGCTTTGGTGCAGTTGAATCCAGAGTTGAGTGATTTGCTGTCATTAGGCTGGTGGAAAACACCAACCAGGAGCAAACCATGGCTCAGCCTGCCAGGCTGGCCCGGAAAGCTTTAAAACACATTCCAGGCTCCCCCAAGCCCCAGGGCCTGGCTACTCCAACATGAGGAGATGCCAAGAGGCTTGTGCAGAGCTCACAGGTGATACTCAGCCACGAAGGAGAGGAGCACAGCACAGCAAGAAAGGCACAACTAGAGTCGAAAAAGTGGGAGATTGATTAAAAATTCTCCAATTAACACGTGTTTTCATGATCCTGAGCCTCACGAGTGCTCATACAGCATAAATAGCACCTGAGAGTGTCATCTCTGTATCCTTATACCTCTGACTCAGAGGTCTCAAACTGCTGTGGCAGTTAATCACAAAACAAGCCATGCAATTTTCCTGACTGGAAAGACACTTCCATATTGCTGCTACTTATGGCATTTTTCTTGCCTCTTGTGATTTGTTTCTTAAATGCTGCCAAGACAAAGTCACATTTTTGATGTGTTCATTCAATTTCAACAGCATTTAGTCCCTCAGTTTGCTGGGCCTGGAGAGCTGTAAGATTTTCCAGGTGAGGAGAATTCCTCAGTTGCCTTGTGAACTGAGATATTGGAGCATTTGGTCAGATCTCTGGGTTATTCTGAGCATCCAAAATGATGCAGTTGCAGAAGCCAGACTGA